ACAACAGCAGCAACAGCAACAGCAGAGTCTTCGTGCGTTTGGCTCGTTTCAGTTTTCGTCATCCTCGGCCACGCCGCACCTCTTGCTTTCTGCATCATTTTGTTTTGTACGAACATTTCGATGTGGTCGGGGTCCACATCCATTTCCATTCCCCGCCTGCACCAGGGCCAGCCCCTTGTTATGATTGCCGTTGCCAGACGATAACCCAGGCCAAAAAAGCAAAAATCGCAAAATACAAATACAACAAACGAAAAAGAAAGAAAAAAAAACAAAAAATATACTAAATAAAAAAAGCACACAAAAAGCAACAAATAAAATGCTAAAAGGAACGAATTTGAACATTTTTGCAGCATTGCACACACGCGACTCCCGCTCGCTCGCTCAGCCAAACAGTCTGAGAGATACCAAATGCGGCCCACTCGCAGATACAGATACATTTACAGATGCAGATACAGATACATTTATACAGATACAGATACAAGCACTGCGCTGCTCTCCGGATTTGCTAAAGCCCCCAAGTGTTATCGGGCAAACCCGAGACGTGCTAATTGCCATTGTGTTTGCCGTAGATACGCGTTCCTTGAGCCTTCGAGCAATGCCTTTAAATTATGTGTCACTTGTTCTCATCAAACATTTAAAATATATATATATTTATGAATATATGGTAATGAAAAATTATGTTAGAAAAGCAATAAAGGGGTGTGTCGGTTTAAACTTCTTATAAGTAATATAATCTTACGCTAAATGAAATAAAAATTGTATTTACTATAAATAATATACAGTAAATTAACCACAGATTATTAATATTATAAGGTTATTATTATATTAATGGAAAAAGGTAAATTTTTAATCTTCAATTGGAACTTAAGAGCCGTCAGAAAAATCTATAAATTTAAGCTTTACTTGTAACATTTTTATAAGACATCAAAAAAGAGCACTTTAAACTTAAACATAAATCAATCTAAAATAAAATAAAGAAATTTGAAATATTTTTCTATATCAACTATCTACTTATCTAGTTCTTGCAAGGATATTCTTCGATTTTCTCCAAGTGCACTTGCGTACAAAGCGGCAATTAAAGTTGGCCCAAGACGATGTCGACAAGAACCTGAAGCCCGCTCGAGGCTCGCTTGTTCGCCTCGTCCTGTCACCTAATTTCCGTTTTAGAAAACATGTCCTCTGCCCCGGCCAAGAGCCACTTGAGGACCCCAGTCCCTCCTTCGTCTCTTTGCCATTCCGATCTTGTCTGGGGCTGTCCTGCTAGGCCAACGTCTGACTACAACTAGTTCTGTCAGTCGGAGGACGAAGGACGAAGGACGAGGGACAGCAACAACGACGACGACGACAGCAGCAAATAATTTTGTAATTCAATTGTTGTCCTTCTGCGCATATGGCGTGTGTGTGCCGACAAGAGTCCTACGGCAGGTTCCTTGAGCTAGCAGCAGCAGCAAGGCAAGGCAAGTGGCCGCCTAGCCAGACGGCTGTTCGACTGCCGGTCCTTTGACTTGTCCTGCTCCCGTTTCGAGGACCTACGACAATAGCAAAAGTTACCGAGCACAACCGGAAAAGAAATGGCCGACAAGCAGCGCCGACCCCGACTCCTAAGGAGAACTTTCAGTAAATTGCAGTCTGTGTGTCCTGTCGGTATCCCTGCCCCTTTTGAGCAGCTCTAGCCGGCTCTTTCCGGTTTCTATCCACATCCACTCGTTGGTTCCTGCACCTGAGTTGGCAAACATTTTGCACATTACCTTACCTGCTGTAGAACCCAAAGTAGCCACATTTTCCCAGATCCTGTCATACATGGCGGAAAAGTGTTGCTATTGGGAAAATTATTGTATCAATTAAACCAAGAGAAATATTACATGGGAAGACGTTTTTTAATAAGAGTTTAAATATAAACTTAATGTACTTAAAGGAAAATGAAGATGGAATTTTATAAACTCTATTTTTTCCTGTGTCTCTCTGTTATTTATGCCAGACCAAAACTTTAGCATAATGCACAAACTTATGCCGTTTGTTTTGTTTGGCCAAATGTTTTAGACTTTTAATTAGGGCTTGGCATAAAGTACTTCAACAACAGCAAAAGGGATGATCACACCAGGAGGCTTGAGGTGTCTTTGGCAGATGGACTGCTGCCTGGTTGTGGGATTGGACATCGTCCTTTCATCATCATCGATGGCCGGGCAAAAGTTTTTCCCAGGACTGGCCAGGCTTATCCTTCGCCATGTAATTTATGCGTATTAATTTCATCTCTGGCCTATCCGGCTTCCTGTCTCTGCAATGATGGCACAATGCAAATTGCTTCGCTCCTTTTCTGCGCCTCGTTATGCGTTTTGCATTGGATGGACCCCGTTCCATGCCATAATCCATCCGTTGTCCGTTGTCGCTGCGGTCCGGTCATTGCATCCCAACAGGCATATTGACCGGCACAAAAGATACGGCGTGGCAGAAAAAAAAAACAAAACAAAATATATATAAATACAACAAAAAAAAAACGGAAAGGATTCCCTTGCCTTTGCTCCTTGGCGAGGACAATGGGGGATGCAGAATGCATCGCAGAAGCCGCTCAATCGCTGCGCCATTATTCGCATTATAATGCCATTCCGATATGTGTATGTAAATAAACAACAAAAGTGGGAAAGGCTCGGCCAGGACTCGTTGTGTTCTAATTGCCGGCAAGGACCTGCCTGGATCCGAACTGCCTGATGCCCGGCATCCTGCTAGGCTGGACATGCAATTGCATTGCAGTCGCTGGCATTGTTCCAGGCCCCGCTTAAGGGTTGAGTTTCAAGTTCTGCACTCGTCGGGGTTATCGCACGATTACAAAAGATTTCCCTACACTCTGTGCTCTGGTCCTGGTCAGCAGCAGCAGGAGCAGGAGCAGAAGCTATAGCTTTAGCTGAATCGGTTGAGGATTCGGATTCGAAATCGCAATCCTGAGTACAGCATGGCGAAAAGGCATAACTTGCAGCGGAAGTCGAGCGTACATTTCATCAGCTGCCCCAGAATGGAAGAGGAGCAGGACAGGGGGCAGGGGTCTCTTGGCTTGAGATTTATCTAGGAGATACTTTATGCAGCAGCTGTGCCAGACTTTGGAGGACATTAATCACCGGTCACCGCTTCAAACTTTGACCTTCTGGACTGCGTGTGAAATCAAAGTCGTTCATCAGCAATATATCCTGATCCTTTCACGAGATTTCTATAAAATGTGGTGGGTTATTTTAGGACCTAAAAGATCTAAGATATATTCCTTAGTAAAAACAACTATTTATTGAACTTCTGTTGTTGTTTTTCCCCGTGTTTGACCTTCTGAGCTGTCATTGACCCCGCTACGGTGTGTGAGGCCAACTGCATCGTAACTTTTGCGGCAAAAGGGATGCAGGGAGGGCAATATAGGGCTGAGCGGTCTCATTATATATAAGGTACTACTAGCGAGTCCTGTGCCACTTATCCCTGGCAGAGCGGCATGTGCTACCAGTCGCGTTCCCATTCCTTCTTTTGTTTTACCTCGCAAATTATTACAACACAACGTACACTTGAAACTTAGAATGCACACACACACACACCACTCTCTCTCTGCTCGGCACACTCGCCTGCACTCGAATACACTCACTGGGCCGTACTGACCTATTCCTCTGAAAACGCTGGTTGGCCTGTCCCCGTCTGGTGGCAAATGGCTCAAGTAGTAGGGAGCCCGGAACGATTCTCGAGAGCGAGCCAAGCGTAAACGTTTAAAGTTCCCATTGTTTTTGTCCAGGGATCTAATGTGGGCGGGATGCAGGGCACTGGGCATGGCAATTTAATGAATAGGATAATGAATAGGTATGCATCGCTGATAAAGACATAACCATAAGCTGAACTTCTGACTAGATCTTTAGGTCTTAAGGTGGGGGGGTAGAGTAATCTCCAGGCTAGTATTAATAAGAGGTCTTAATGAGTTCTTTGCTTATCTGAAGGGGAAGAGAGAGTGCACTTTAGAATCTCCTCCGATGCGCTTCTCAGCTTTCTGCTGCAATGAACTGCAGTTTTTGCTTGAATGAAGCCAAGTGCAGGGCTTGCAAATATGATCTGCTCTCCCGATCTACCACGATTAGTGACACTTGAGTGCGCGGCATTCTATGTCCCAGGCTCTCGATTCCTTACAAAATGTTTTAACACCTCGTTGAGCTTACAATGGGGCTGCTGGTTGCGGCTAAGACTCCAGGACTCCTGCACCTGAAAATCGATATTTGGACAGAAGGTTAAAGAAGAATAAAAATATGAACGGCCTGCCAACACCTTGATGCAGACGGACGGCGGGGGTATTGAATGTAATTAAAAGGAGTTGGATTACACGTGTCGGTGTCGCTGTAGAAGGGGAGCCTTCCTTGGCTGTGCCAAAGGACCCCGCACGAAAAAGGGAGAGATGCCTTTGCATGGAAAAGCAAAACAAAGCGACCAAAAGGGGAGAGGGACAAAACGTTTGGGGAGACGACGACAGAGTTCTTCTTCCTTTCACTTAGCACACAAGTGAAGCTCTCGGCTTCGTCTCTCTCTCTTCTGACTGAGCGACTCTCCAAAATGCACTTTAAATGGCAGTTTCCGGTCACACACACACACACACACTTACAGAGCCACAAGCCACATGGCCGTGTGTGCAGCTTGTCTGGAATAATAAAAAAAAATAAAGGAGAGAGAGGAGGAACAATGCAAAAAACGCCAAGGAGTCGCGCTGTGCCAGGAGCAGCAATGCACCGCTTGGTACAAACTGTACTCCGCCCCGCTCCGCCGCTCGTTTTGCTCGCTGTCATGTCCGCCGTCATAGTCCTCATAGCCCCGTCATCCTTGCTCACATCCTTCCCTGCTCCCTGCTCCTCATCCTTATCCTTCGTGCTTAATGCAGTCTAAGCTTTCCATAGGCCTACCCCTTGCAGTTTGCATTTGCCTTCGTCCTGTTTCGAAGGGTTGCTCGAAAGGACTCTCTGCATGCAGTCGGCTTTTTATTAATCATTCCCGCACACATTAACATAACGAATTAATAATCATATTTTGGTCTCAGAATCGCAGCTTCTTCTTCATCTTTCTGACCGCTCCTTCCACATCCTTGCCCGCGCGGGCCACCTCACGTCCCGGATCTCCGGCCGCCCTGGAGACTTCCCGCTCTGTATCCTTTGCCGCCTTTGAAGTTTCACGCTCTCCATCCTTTGCCACCCTTGAAGTTTCACGCTCTCCATCCTTCTCCGCCCGCCGGACTTCACGTTCTCCATCCTTAGCTGCCCTGGCTGACTCCCTGCCCACATCTTGGGCTGCCACCGAGATCTCCCGGGCCACAATACGACCCAATTTCGCAGTTTCCCGCTCTACGATCGGAATGGTCAGACGGATCGTTTTTTCCTGCTTGCGCCAGAAATCAATGCGCATAATGCGCCGAATGCCGGTCGGATCCTTGTGAAAGGTAACCACGGCCACGGTGTCATCGCCAAGGATTTCAATATAGTCCTCATAGTTGAAGTTGGCGCACAGACTGCCCAGATACTCCTCAATTTGCTCCGAGGTAGGCCGGCAGGCGGGATCCTTATCCCAACAACGGACTATCAATTTCCTAATGCCCTCCCAGCAATCGGGTCTAACTGCTTCCAGGGGAGGACGTTCGCCTGAAGAGAAAAATATATTTAAGATATACAAATATCGGAGTATATATCGGAATATATATAGACCTACCCCTTATGGCAGCTCCCAAAACGGCAAATCCATTATCGCTGTTTTCCAAGTGACTAAAGGGCACCTGACGGGACATCATCTCCCACAACATGATACCAAAACTGTAGATATCACACTTATCTGTGTATTTTTCGTCCTTATATACCTGTACTTGGAACCAGGTTATAAACAATAATGTTATTTACAATTTAGGGAAAGTAAAGCTAAGCTGCTCCACTCACCTCTGGAGCCATATAGGCTGGTGTACCCTTCATTTGTGAGAGATATGTTGCCAAATCTGTTGCTGTACCGAAATCGCAAATCTTTAGGCGTCCAAACATATCGGTTAATAGCATATTCTGTGGCTTAATATCACGATGAAGCACTGGCTTTGGCTCCATGGAATGCAAGTGTACCAAAGCCTATAAAAAGTCAAAGGATTTCGAACTATTAAGGCAGCTTAAGGATCCTTATTTCGTTTGTTTTCAAGAGGAATGCTAAGATTTGAGGGTTATTTTGTATTGAATTCTATTTAAAGTTTTATTATTTTTCTAATATTTATCTAAATATAACTGTAACTCACCGCCACACATTGTTTGGCCCAGCGCACGGCCTCCTCGACGGTGTACTCCCTCTGATCATCGCCATGGAGAAAGTCGTGTAGGGAACCCTCCTCCAAGTATTCCATCAGCAAATAGGCATATTCATCATCATCGGCGGAACCAAACATCTTGACAATATTCTCATGTTCGATTTGGGACAATTGAGCAATTTCCCGCTCTGCTGCTATTTTATGACGCCGATCTAAGATATCGTACACCTTCACCGCGATCTCTTGGTCACGCCAATTGGCCTTGAGCACATATCCAGTGGCTCCGCTTCCTACTTTCTGTGGGGTTAGGGAATCACTGATGATTAGTCCTTGACACAATTACAAAACTAACACTGTACCTTACTCAGCTGCAGTTCCGAGAAATTTACTTTTTCAGCCATCGAAATGGGAGCTGTACGTGCCTTTAGGTTGAATAGCTTTCTAATAACTGAATTGCATGGATCATATTCTCTGTGTACATATACTGGTTTAGTTGGGAGAGATAAAGACACCTTATCGGAAATCGGACGCTCAGTTAACTTATCATATGTTGTTAAATTTATATACTCGAAACTGAGTTAAAAAAAGGGGTTACCTAAAATATTTAAGATGTTATTGCTAAGAATAATGATGGTAGATTATATGGAAATTCTGATAGTATTTTAACTGGGAGTTTTCTAATTTATGTAGTTCTGATATTGTTAGGTATTTATTTTAACAAATTTCTTTTTTTTATTTGCAGTTGCCAACACCTTGTCTCGAGACACCTATCGGGTCTTCTCCAGCGAAATGTACTCCGCATTGAACAATCCTTTGACACAGCATAGTGCTGGTGAGTTCAATTCTTATTTCATTATAGTGTTTTTATCATTATATTATCAATAAGAGAAAAATTATTTCAATTGCAATTATTTCTGGTAAAGAATTTAAGCAAAGTTGGCTTGAAAACACCTCAATATAGTTTCCTAAATATCATTAAAAGTAAGAGAAGTGGTTATAGGATTCACAAATATTGTAGATGATTACTATGTTATAAGGTTTAAAGTTTAACATTTAATCTTGATTAATTAAGAATTTAAATTAAGTTCTCTTTGGCTATAACTATTACCATGAGCTTGAAACACAGAATTGGCCGTCTTTTGCCAATCTTCGTTCTGTTTTTAAGTATCTTTCTTGTGTGTAAGCAGATGTTATTTTAGCCAGAATCCAACTAGCTCTTCAACGAGCACTTGGACTGGGATATGCCCTCGGGTGCTGGATGAGCTTAGAGCTAATGGTGCTTCATGCTGTGTGTTTATGTTGGCAGATCCCTTCCCTTCCCATCTGGATCTCGCATTACACGCCGATGCAATGCGATGATGATGCCCGTCGCCTGCTTGAATTACACGAATGTCTACGGTTACATAAAGCGGCTGACAGCAGTTGCTCTTCATTAGCCGCCGGGTTCCTTGCACTCCTTTCGTTTTCACCACACACATTTTTTGTTGGTGTAGGTCCAGTCCAGTCCCGCTTCCATTCCCGCTTCCAGTCCCAGCCCCCAGTCCCAGCTCTCTCAGTTCCAGACTTATGTAAACCACATGCACACTTTACTTGGCAGGCTGCCTGACTTAACTGCTTGCTTGGCTGGTTGAATGGTAACATACACTCAGCAAATTCACTTGGTTATTATTTACATTTTATTGGTAAATTATAAATTAAGTATTCAGCATAATTATAGGAGTTTTTGTGTTCTTTACATAAGGGAAAAGGTGTCCCAAGCTCAACTTCTTCATTCAATTCCATTCTATTCTCTGCAATAAGTCTCTATATTTATTTTATTATATCTAGAAACTGTATTGATGGTTATTTTTGTAAAGTGTATTTATGTCTGAGGCCCCCAGTGTACGTTTATATAATGCAAATGCAAGTACATAGCACTTTGGCATGCTCTTCGCGCCACATTTCCCATACTCGCCGGCTGCATGTGTTCTTGGCCCGAACCTGCTGTCCATCCTGTCCCGTTTCTGGTTAGCCTTTTGCCATGTCAGCACCTCGCATCATTTTTTCTTTTTTTCGACTGGAATTAATGGGTTAAGTAAATAGCCATGTAATATGTTACAGTGCCCGAAGAGAGAGGGGGATTGTGTTGGTTATGGTAAAAAGGACTTCAATAGCGGCGCTTGGCTGCCAATGCTGATATCCTTTTTGGTATTCAGCCATTATGCTGATGGAGCAACTTTAAGGAAAATGAATTCAAATATTTGTATGGCCAAAAGCTGTTATGGCGAGAAGGATTTTTTAAATTATGGTTATAAATAAGATATAGAAAAAGAGCCATATGATTTTAAGAATATTAAAGAATATTTCTAAATTGGTGGTCTATATTTCTAACTTTAGCTATATTTTCCTTTATATTAACAATAACTATTTCTCATTAACATTAAGGTAATTTAAAATATAGTACTTAAAGCTTACCTATAACAGTTCCCTAAGTTATTTCTAATTGGGGAAAAGGTTTAAATTTCATTTGAAAGAATATATCAAGTAAATCGTATCTTGCTGCCTTGGAAATACCCATGGGTTTTTCTCGTTAACAAAATATGTGTGTGTACATATGTCCCAAACTGAGTTCAAGGAACTATATTTCACTTAACCATGGTGGCTTTTTCTCCCTCTTGCCGGGGGAAATGTAGGTGAAACATTTCGCATTCATTTGGCGGCGACAAAAAGCGCGCGACTTGCACTTTAACCAACGCTGAAAATATCCGTAAACACAGTCAAAGCAACTAAAAGCGCTGTTGTCGTCGTCGCCATGTGTGCGCAGATTGCATTTCAATGGGCCACCACTACCACCATCCCTCCTCCATCGAGGAGAGGAGCTCCCTCTGGCATCCCGCATCTCGGCTTCCCCGGTTTCCCAGGACGCGCCATGTGCAAGCTGCAGTTGCAAAAGCGGCTGTTGCATTGCCCCGTTGCAAGGGTCGTCAGTTGCGTCTTTTGTTTTAGAAAAAATAAAATATATATATATATAAATAAATAAAGAAAAGGCGGTGAGAAGAACTCGCCCCATGCAATGATGCCGAATGGCAAAAGTAGGCCAAGTTAAAATTGATTTAATGCGTTGATTGCGTGGAAGTCGGAGCAGTTGCAGTTGCAGTTTGCAGCTGCTGCGTCGGCGATCGCAGTTGCAGTTGCAAATGCAATTGCTGTGGATACTGGCCAGATTTATGCCGCGTCAGCTGGGTCTTGTTTTACTTTCAATGGATCTCAATCTTGCCTGGGATCGCAGTGACCCAGAAAAGGTGAAGAATCCCCCACAGCGGACACGCGGTACACGGGGCGTATGCGTGTTGCGTGTGAGGTACGAACATTGACCCAGGGCACCTCTTTCTGTGTGTGTTTGTTAAAAATAATTGCCAGGCAACCTTCAGTGATTTTTCCGCAGTTTTTTGTTGATTTTCCCTGCTGGCAACGTCAAGTGCTTGCCTTGCCTTGCTTTCCTTTTGACAGCTAATTGGAAAAATGTTCGGAAAGTCAGCTCCTTCAGTTCGGTGTGGTGTGTTTATTCTCGCACGTAGACATAAGACCGTTGGCATGGCAATCGCTTCAAAAGGGTCCTTGGCTGGATGCGGAACAAGGGCGCATTATATTTTAACACCTTCATCCAATTGCCAGCTTTTTGTTCTATTTCCTTGCATCGATCCTGGCCGCTGTCAGATGCTCTACCCCTTCTGTTCCTTCTGCCGCGGGCTTAATTTATGGACTTTGGCGCATCATTCTGCTTTTTTTCTCTTCTCCCTGTGGCCGCTTCATTCCAAAAGTGACGACAAAACATTCCACAATATGACAAAAAAAAATAAAAAAAAAAATCCTTTTTGCAAAAGAATCAAAAAAGAACGCCATCGACAATTTAGATAAATTTTCCCACCAGCCATGGCCATAAAAACAAAGACCTCGACCCGAGCAGATCAGCGAGGGGTGCTCGCTCGCTCTCTCGCAGGATTTCAGGGTGTCCAGGCCACGGGTGCGGTCATCATCATCATCTTACTCCTTGTACTCACACTCACACTCGTACCCATACTCATACTCATCCTTGGACGTAATCACGCTGTGCTCGATATCGAATGATAAACTTCGAGGCAGAGTCGCTGTATAAAAGTGATAGTGGTGTGCCAGTGCAGCTTGCCTCCAGTTTTCTGTGTGCTCAACGGCTCAGCGCATATCCTTCAGGTACAACTTACTCATATATCACAAAAGGATACTGCGCTCCTCCTGTTGTGTGCTTTTCTGCTTAGCTTTTTGTCTTGTCTGCGTGGTCAGCTCTCCTGGCTATTGCTCCCTCATCCCTCATCCTCGTCCTGCTGCCCGCTCGAAGGTGACACCGTGGCACAAACAATGGCCAAAGGAGGAGACGCTGGTCAAGCGACCGCCTCTCGCAAAGGAAAAAAAAAAGGAAGCGGCGAGCGCAAAAAAATTAGACGATACGAACCAGTCCCAGTCGCTGGCCAAAAGCAAAGAAATGAAAAAAAAAAAATAAAATATAAAGAAGTACGCAAATCAAAATCAACTCATAAAAAACTACGTTTTATATGTGGGTCTGCATTAAAATGCAAATGTCGCATTGAGTTTCCTCCTTTCACGGCTTGTTCTTTTTTTCTTCCTTTTTTTTTGTGCCATCCTCCTGCGATGTCCTCGCTGCGGCTGGTCATCCACTTCCTGTCCCTGATTCTGTGTTTGGCCTTTAAGATTTTGGGTAAACAATGTTTCGCAACGGTGACTAGAACCTGAGCAGCTCTAGGCTGGAACTATGGTTATATTTAAGGTTACTGAGGTATTCAGAAAAAGGCATTATTCAGATATAAAATCTATATAATATGGGATAAATAAAAAAGGATTTATATGTAATAAGAATTTATTTATTTAAAATAAACAAATTTATTAAAAGAAAGCTGTACAAATATAGCAACTCATATCCTTTTCAGATATTAAATCTATATAATCCGGGAAAGATAATTTATAAAATATATGTATATATAATATCTGTTTATAATAGGATTTTGTTTGATAAGAATTCGTTCTTTTAAAATAAAGTATTTTATTGAAAGAAAGCTGTACAAATACAGCAACCCATTTACGTGTATTAATTATATGGAATGTTTCGGATATGGTATATTTTTTAATACGTTTTATAAAGAATATGTATTGTTAATTCAAATATTCTGAAAACGCCAGAAGGTATTTATAATATAAGGATACATCCTATATATACTATATACTATCTCAGTATACAAATGTTTGATGATGAACCCTTTAAATCAAAATAAGAGGTCCTTACACATTAATTATGGATTAGACATGTGGTAATATATGTTCAAAATGCTAATTAATAAATATTTTTAAAAAATTTGTCTACTATGAGTTTTTAAATATTTAAAAACAGCTTAAACCTAATTATATCTTAGTAAAACCCTGTAAGAAAAATGTGGTTTAGCTTTGCTTAACCCCCAGGACTTTCTAAAAAGCAAACTCACTTATTTCAAGAGTACAGCAGGATCAAAACTCTGCAGCAGAATCAACTCTGCATAAAAATTCGAAAGAAAAATACGAAGAAGAAACCGAAATATCCGCAAAGCTCAATAAGTTTTCAGGCCCTGGACATTGTCCATCCTTGGCAAGGAGCAAGGTTCAGGTACATTCGAGGACGACGACGAGTACCTCTTCCCTGTGGCCCTACCTACATTCATTTGAATGCAGACAAGTCCTTGCGTCGTGATCTTCCTTTGTGCGGCGGCCAAGTGCGCTGCTGCTGCCGCTGCTGCTCCTGTCTGCCTCTCCCTACCCCTTTCCTTGGTC